AAGTGCACAACTTTTGTCCATCTCTCATCCCAAAACGTGTGAATACTGACTTTGTACCCAATAAAGTTATTTGTTGACACATTTAAAATAAGATAATGTTTTTACACCTCATTACAAGCACTTAATGATCTGTCATTTAAATTTTTAATCTGTTGCACACCTGAAACTCAAACTTAAAATGGCTTAGGTTCAATAAAAAAAAACTTTTTTTGTCTTATTTCTGACCTTTTATGACTAAAATGAAAAGTGACATTTAAAATTAAATTTACAATTAAAGGTTATATAAGAAACTCAATTGTATGACTATATATTATATTTATCACTTTCCTTAAACAAAGTGTATCAAGCTGAGTAAAACCAACTTAGTAATTTATATTGTAGCTCTTCTGCAGAGGCTTGTTAACCCTGTAACAACACAAATCCATGCAGTGATTTGACAGAGACAATGTTCTAGTTTTAAATATAGATGACACCTGGCAGACTGAATTATTACATTTAGACCTATAATTAAAAAGCTGTTGATATTGCAGCTGAGCCACCTGCAGTCCGTGACGACCACGTCGCATTGCAAGGAATTCATGCTGGCTGCTGCCTAGTGCTTTCAAACGCCAATATGTCCCCTTTAAAAGTAGGCAATAAATATATTTTTTAAATAATAGCAACTCAAATTATAGCCAGTATTGTGGAAAACTATTTTTAATTATTATTTGTGATGCAGTTATGTTGAACTAAAATGATTTTTAATTCCAATTTGTCCAATTTATGTTAACAGAACTCTTCTAGAGCTACAGAAAACAGGATAATTTCACAGTTTTAGCATCTACCTTTCCTGAAAACAAGATATTTTAGTGTCCAACTATAATATTAAAGTCCACTTTATAGCTTTGCAGAGTAACAACTGTCAGGACGAAGACCTGTAGATCCATGTTTGCTTGTTTGAAGGAAAAAGAGAAGGAAGCTGAAAGTGGTAACAATTGGTGGTAGTTGCATTTTTAATATTTTGTTTTCGTCTGTGGGTTTACATACACAGAAGTATTATCCCTCAAGCCCATAAGTGAAGTGCAAGTCTGCAGGAATCACAAAAATTGAGTCCTTCTAGCCTTAGAGACTGAAGTTTTTCGAAATAAGTGAGCAAAACGTATATTTAATGTTATCACATAAATTTAATGACGTAGAAGGAGATGGTTACCCCATTATATATTTGTAATATTAATTTGTGGGAGCAAATCTTAAGATACATGGTGTCTTCTCCAGTTTAAATTGTGGGGGAACAAACAGTCACAGAAATGTTCACGCTAGTCGACTAAACATCACAATTTAAACTTTGTGCGCCTGTTTTAAAGGACACGCTGGTCTTTATGATCAGAAAGTCGATTCATTTTGTAACTTCAGCTCTTCGTTTAACATCAGAATATTCAAATATGGGATCGTTTGTACTAAACAAATGTATTTATTATTTTTTTTGTCAAATCTTACACTAAACCTTTGCATAAGTCACATCTATGGAGAAGTTTTGTTACTTTTTTAATAACTATTAAGCAGAAAAGCAGAGTATTCTGGGACTCATGTCCGCATCTCACCACTCCTTATTGTAATCGTTTGTCTGCTCCTGGCTGTGCTCACTGTTTTGTTAGTGTTGGGGAGGGCTAGCCCGTTCGCGCTCACCTTCATCACTGTCACTGACCTGCTGACTCGGCTGTTTTCACACGCCATAGCAACAGCATCGCGGTGGCACTCCCATCTATCTACCTGCACCAGCCTGAGCCACGACGTGCAGGTTTGATGAAGTGGGCACAGGAAGGCACGGACTGAGCCTCGCTGCTATCGGTTCTGTGTGCATGTGTGTGCGTGTGTGCGCAAATACTCGAGAGGAAAAGGAGCATTTGTATGTAGGACAGCAAGAGTGCACAACTTTCAGTGTGTGTGTGTCAGGAGGAAGACAGCGAGCACATTTGAGTGCGGCAGACCCAAATCGCCTGGAGAAGAGCTATCTTAAAGTCCCTTCTCAGTCTGCCAGTAATTGTGCGAATGTTCGAGATACAGTGCTGCAGATGGCTCATGATATGACATATTAGAAGCCACCCGAGGGGCGAAATGCAGTAATTGGGCGCTTCAAAATTCTGATCTGGAATGTCATGCTGCAGGATAGGAGGAGGTGGAACGCGCCCAATTCGAAAAATCATGTCTACACCGTCAACAGAACGAGCCACAGTGCAGCGTCAACACCCGGCGTCAGCCGCGGTGACAGGTCTGACTTTGCCTCCAGCCAGAAGAGGGGGTGAAGGCTGAGCGTGAGGGTGGAGGCGCTGATCAAAAGGGCTGTGGCAGGTAGATGTGGGGAGGGTGACGCAGAGGAAAGCTTTTTGGCACACCGTTTTCACCCCTGAGCATCTTGAAAAAGACATGCACTAAAATTATCATTAGTGCAGCTCAATCAGAAGCAGGAGGGTGTTCTTCAAGCCACAATCACACATCCAGACCTTGTGAACATGTTCAAGAAAATCTTTTCATATTTTAAAAGCATTTTTTTTTTAAAAGTTGGACTCACGTTACCTGAAGTGTTGTCCTTATTATTATTTAAAGCAACTTCCCTGAGTTTAATTTGAACCCATAAAGATCAGAAATGGAAATGAAACCCCGAGAAGCCCCGTCACCAGAGCCAAAGAGGGATTTAGGCAGTTATTGCACTTTTTGGTGAAAAGGCAAACTCTTCCAAAGTAACTGTTCAACTTGTCCTTTCTTTTAGACTGTTTATATTAAATTGAATAATTAATTTAGACTACCTGTAGTATATTTACCTACATACAAGTCACAGTCTCTCACAAATGTGTACAATAACATGTTTGGTTGAACATCAGTTAGGCCTGTCACGATAACTAATTTTGCTGGGCGATAAAATTGTCTCAGAATTTATTACAATAAACAATGATATTGTTTGAAATTTGACAATAATTAGTCATTTTTGTCAAATTTAAGAAGAAATGTTTAATTTGTTTGTGTGTAGTACCTTTTGTTGACCACCGGATGGCAGTATAAGACTGTTTGAACCAAATGATGGATATTGAGGGAGCGAGCTGTATGTTTCTTTAAGAAAAATGGGAGGGAGGCCTCTTGACGTGACATGGGCGGTCTCTCTTCCGTTCTCAAAATGGCGGACACTCTTTGTGGTTTGAGCCCTTTAGCATAACTTTTTTCACACAAAACTTTTAATAAAAAAAAAAAAATCAGTAAAGTTCTCAGCTTCTTTTTGCCGAGAAAAACTTTATACACGAAGGCACGGGTTTCAACAGTGAATTTTGGTGCTTTGACAAGATGGAGCTTTTTTCCTGAGGTCAGCCTGTTAGCTTAGTTAGGCCTGTCGCAATAAACAATAAATCAATTAATCACATGATAAATGAAAATTATCGACCTCATTTTCATTTATCGGCTTTATCGTTTCTTCTTGTCTCTCTTTCTACTGAAGACACTGGATGACGAAAGGTTCAACTCCAGTGCTCTTCACTGACCCCTCCCTTTCTCTTTAAAATCTGCTTTAATCATCCAAAATCGTGTTTTTGGATTGTTAAAAGCAGCTAAGCTGAGAAGCTAAGCTACGAGCTAACCTAACAGGCTGACCCCGGGAAAACACCTCCATCTTGTCAAAGCTCCAAAATTCACGGTTGAAATTTGTGCCTTCGTGTAAAAAGTTTTTTCTCTGCAAAAAGAAGCTGAGAACTTGTTTACGGATTTTTCATTTTTATTAAAAGTTTTGTGGGGAAAATGCTATGCTAAAGAGTTCAAACCACATCGAGCGTCTGCCATTTTGAGAACCAAAAACAGGAAAGAGAGACAGCCCATGTCGCATCAAGAGGCCTCCCTCCCATTTTTCTTAGAGACACGCTGCTCGCTCCCTCACTATCCATCCTTCGGTTCAAAGAGTCATCTGGTGGTCAAAAAAGGTACTACACTAAAAACAAATTAACCAACATTTCTTAAGTTTGACAATAATTACTAATTATTGTCAAATTTCAAACAATATTATCGTTTATCGCAATAATTTCTGAGGCAATTAATCAGCCAGCAAAATTTGTTATCGTGGCAGGCCTAAGCTTAGCTTCTCAGCTTAGCTGGTTTTAACGATCCAAAACCACAATTTTGGACAGTTAAAATGGATTTTAAAGAGAAAGAGTTGAACCTTTCGTCATCCGGTGTCTTCAGTAGAAAGAGAGAGGCACGAAGAAACAATAAAGCCGATAAATGAAAACGAGGTCGATAATTTTAATTTATCATGCGATTAATTGATTTATTATTTATCATGACAAGTCTAACTTCAATAACTTTTTTTGGTGAGAACTTTCATTGTCGGTGTGTAGAAAGTAGAACCTCTCAGTTAAATCTTCCAAAACAGCATATTATTGTAACTAGAGGTAAAGAGCTGCATCTAGTAAGTGCTTTATAGAAGGAATCCATCATGTAAGAAGTTGTCACTTAACATTTGGGTAAAAAAGGAGATTTTGGTAGCTGAAGAATTCCCAAAGGCAAATCTTTATTGTAAAGGGAGCTGGTGTACGTTGGAAAAAATGACAGTCGGGGAATTTTCCTGCCGAGTTGATTGAACAGAACAGAAATTCACTCCGCACTTATGCTCATATTCAGCTGTAAACTTTGACAAGCAAGTCCAAGGTGCAAAACTGTTTAGACTGCATGGCTAATGATTCTGCTTTTTTGTGGCTGTACATGTGGTTTTATGTGTCCTGTGCTGCACTTGTGCCGAGGTTTTCCCAAACCTATATCTGTCTGGTTCATAGTGTGGCCTCGATGCTCTTTGTATCTGAACATGCTTAGCTTTTCTTTTAAGCATCCACTGTATGTTTATCAGATTATGATCGTGGGATCCAGTTCACATCTTTAGAGTTCACTCTGTTTCATCTGTAAAATTTTGTCTGGACCTGGATTTTAGCGAACTGTGACTGTGCATGTCTCGCTGTCATAACCTTTCTTCTTCTGTTTTATTTCTCCAGGTCTGTGGGCCCAGTTCCTCAGAGCGCCCTGACGGTCAACACAAACCCCAACATCAACATCAAGTCCGAGCCCGTATCGCCAAACCGTGATCGCAGCACTCCCATTTCCATCGGTGGCGCAGGATTGTGCGCGGGGGGTCAGATCCAGGGACAAGGTTTGGTTTCGGTCGCCTACCCCGGTACCCTGCGGGTGGAAGCAGGAGGCCAAGGCCGCTCGCCCGTCGACAGCCTCAGCAGCAACGGCAGCTCGTTCGAAGGCAGCGACCGGGACGACATCCAGGGACAGGGTGGGGGTACGAACTTCCACGGCCAGGTGGGCGGAGCGCAGCAGCCCACGATGCTTCTCCTCCGGCCCTCTTCGGCTGACCCTCAAGAGCAGGATGGGACAAATGTCAAAAGAATGAGATTGGATGCCTGGGTCACATAAAGAGCTGGACGGACACATGGAAGATGATGTGTATTTGTGGCTTGTGTACCTGCTTCAGTCCCCCCCATCCTCCCACCCTCTTAAATAAAATCACAGAATAAGACCATCATTGACCCAGTAACTGCACAGAAACTCATTCGTTCACAACACAGGCATGAAAACACACTCACGTTGCACAGTGGACATTGATGCCGAGTCGATGGCAGTGCGCGTTCACTTTTGTACTTCGATGTCCTCGAACTTGTAAACATGCCCCCCCCCCCCCCCCCCGTCAAGTTGAGCCACCAAACCAGGAATTATTCACCAACGGAAGGATAAAAACGAACAAAGATTTTAATCAGGCATCATTTTGGCCACATGGACTTCTATCCGACACGCCGACAGTTACTGGCAGAGCAGACAAACAAATCAGACTTGGTTCCCAGCAAGTCTGGGTGGGATTTGGTTTGTGGTTGGTGGTGGGGTCCCACCCTCGTCCTCACTGTTCACCTGCAGTAGGTTCTGGTCAGACATGACAGCGCTGTGTTTAACAAGTGCCACTAGAAATATCCACATCATGTTTTTGAATACGTGCGCCCAACCAACGTCGTGTTGCTCTTTCTCTCTCATGTCTTGTTTCTTCTCCCAGAGCCGGAGATGTTCTGCTTGGAAATGTGTCTCGACTGTTTGAACTTTGATTTCATTTTGGATTTGAATTTGAAGATGCAAAACGAAAGAAAGAAGGAATAATAAAACCTCTTGCCTCTCTCCCCAACCGTGCCGACAGCTCCGTCAACAGGCCGGCGCGCCGGCCGTCTCCAAGATTGACGACCCACAGGTTGTTTTTTTGTTTTGTTTTTTCAAGAGGAACCTTGCAGTCTGTCTGTAGAACACGGAACGTGATTTGTTGCTGAAGTAAAAGACTGCTTTTCTTTGAATCAGGGATGAGCTGCAACTGCTCGGCAGCACGCTGTACTCTTCATTTGCCCACATTGTGTTGACTACAGATGATGGAAAAGGCTTGTGTGTTTGGTGTGTGTATG